ACCACAATTAATATTATCACCACCACTTCTACTTCTACTACTACTTAAAATAATAATACTGTTAATAAACTAAATGATGCGTGTCTGCCGTTCACCGACGTCGAACACACGATATATCCAGAGGTCACGTACTCGCTCTTACACCCGGCAGAAATGTCATACGTAGTGAAATAACCCCCAAAGTGCCTAATAACCCCCAAAGTGCCTGTTACATTAAATTTGAGATCATTGCTTATCATATAACACGTCTGACCTCTTGGGGGGGTTGAGGGGGGACCGATGTCTCCGTGGCCAAATTATAGCCCCCTTAACCTAACCTAACCTAACCCTCTTTTATTTTAGTTAGGAAATTCGTGGTTGTGGATCGGGTCAGATATAATTAGTTTTGGCTGACTGTTTCCAATTGTACACTTTTCCCCGCTTAATTGCCTTCCTTTGGTTTAATCGTAGTTTTTAGCCATTTTACCCCTTGATGGATCGTTCGTCCGTGTTTTCTATTTCTTTTCATTCTGTGTTGACGTCTGTGTGTTGTTCCATGAGTTATTGTTCTCTTTGTTTTCGGTTTCTTGTTGGTTATTTTCGTGTTTTTATTATTGTTTTTGTTATTGCTCATATTATTATTATTATTTAAATTTTATCTTTTTCAATGCACTTAGAGGTTCAACTCATCTTAATTAAGTTACATTGGGTTTGGTTAAGTCGGGTTTAGTTACATTAGATTCGATTAGGTTAGTTTAGTTTAAGTTAGACTAGACTAAATTATGTTAGATAGGATTAGATTAGGTTAGCTCAGATTGGGTTCATTTACCTTAACATCTGGATACGGTCTCAACAAGCAGTGTATATTGGCACTAACCCCTTCAGACTCACCCTATTACCTATGACAGGTGAAAAATGTCCGTGGGTCTCCGTGGCACAGGTATCCGGGAGCGGGAACTTGTGGGAATGAGAGCCATCACAAGGGAAACAGCTGGAATGGGAATTGTCGGAGTGGGAATGTGTGTGAGGGGATGGGGGGGTAGCGGGTATGGGGGAGTAGTGTGGGTGTGGGGTAGTGCGTATGTACTGTACGTAATGGTTAGCATTCTCGCCTGGCAAGCGAACAGAGCCGGGTTCGATCCCCGGGCAGGGTGAAACTAGGGGCAAGTTTCTTTATGCCATTTGCCTCTGTCTACCCAGCAGTAATTGGGAACCTGGATGTTAATCGATTTGCTGATCGTATTCCGGGGTAATGGTTAGCCAGTGCAGTTGGCGAGTTGTCCGGTCTTCTCGGACTGTTCCTTGACACTGGGTCATGCAGCTCGTTAACTTAGGGTGTGGTTGTTGTGTTGGCGACAGCTTCTATACCTTAATAAATTCACGCCCAGGTGGCCCTTGGGCCGGCCTTCCTCGTTACACGAGGAGCAGCCATTATTATTATGTGTGTGTGTGGGGAGAGGAGGGGGGGGGGTGTAATATGTAGACCCACTTTGTATATATTAATCGACAAAAACGCAAAAAATATAATTATTCACGTTAGACTTTGACTGAAGTAGAGATAAAAGTATTTATTTAATTTAACAATATACAGTATACAGTATGTTTATTGGGTCGTCAAAAAATGAATGCCCAGATGTCGAAACATAATCATTGAAAATCTTGGTATTCTTTTTCGATGTCTGTCTATATATAAACTTGTTCACATCAGTTACCTGCAGAAATACATTGCCAGGTAATTCGGTAATTTTTATTACTCGTTATAACTCAAGCAAAAACAATCAAATTAGAGCTGAACTGATCTGAGAATATTAAATTTTGTCTAACCTTATTAGTCCTGACCGAACTTGAATTGTGTTGAGGTTATTCATGATGTTTCTTCACACACACACACACACACACACACACACACACACACTGTGTGTGTGTGTGTGTGTGTGTGTGTGTGTGTGCACTGGAAAGGTTTGGCCGTGGACTACTGCACCACCCTCGCCATCGCCACCTCCTGCAGCCCCCCACCCAACTCGCGCAGTCCGCCACTACAACAAAATTCAGCCCAAAAGAGCCCGCACCGATAGATATAAGAACAGCACCATCCCATCTATTGTTAAAATAATAAACAACTCCTGATTTATGTACTGCACAGCCCTGTAAATGTATTCAATGCATATTATATCATTATGTCTAAATTAAATGTAAGTCTGTATATTTTCAGCCACCGGCTGCAACTCTATTAATAAACCGTTTATTATTATTATTACACACACACACTGCTGTTATTTTCCCCTGGTCATCGACAATGGTGGTAAAGTACACTATATCCCCCTTAAGCAATCAAGACACAACCCCCCAGGCCAATCTAAATACCTTCCCTTACTACACACGTGAGAGCTGGCACCGCAGTTATCCGACCATAAGAACTGGCACACCCGTTATCCAACCACGAGAACTGGCACCCCCATTATCCGACAATGAGAGCTGGCACCCCCGTTAACCGACCATGAGAACCGACACCCCCATTATCCGACCATTAGAACCGACACCCCCATTATCCGACCATTAGAACTTGGCACCCCCGTCATCCGACCATGAAAGACAGCGAATGAAAAAGACCCACACACCTGCTGTCAGCTTCTATACGTCACTGACTGGCTGTAAGACTGAGTGATTATTTTCTCATCCAAGTCCTCCTTCCTAACATACAGTACAGTGAGGCTAAAATGTTTTATAGAAGGTGAATGTTGATGGTCGCTGATACTTACTGTGTGTGTGTGTGTGTGTGTGTGTGTGTGTGTGACGGCATTCATGGAGACGGGTTCATTTTTACCCGGCTGGAAAACTCATACTCAGCCCTGGAAACTTGACATGAATTTTTAGTGCTAATGCGGTGGGTGTCGTGGGTTAGGTTAGTTGAGGCTTAATCTCAGGAAAAGGTGATGTTAGGTTAAGTGAGGTCTACGGTTCGTTAAGCACGGGTAGGTAATTTAGGCTTGGTTAGGTTAGTATTAGGGTAGGTTAGGTACTTTAAATATGTTAAACTTGGGTAGGTAAGTTACTGTAGGTTAGGTTAGGGTTAGGTTAGGTTAGGTTAGGTTAGGTTAGGTTAATTTAAGTCATACATTGAACTACTACCGAGCATCACAACACTTGCAACAACAACAAATAGACAAACAGACAGAAGAAAAAATGGAACAACAGAAAGACGGAAAATACAAACAAAAACGAAGCAAAACAAAACCAACCGAACGAAACATTTAATTGAATTATGACTCAACACTTTTAGTAAATAAACTTTTCCCTTTCTGGTAATTTTTCCCATATGTCAGCGACCAGATGGTATACTAGCGACCAGATGATATACTAGCGGCCAGATGATATACTAGCGGCCAGATGGTATACTAGCGGCCAGATGGTATACTAGCGACCAGATGGTATACTAGCGGCCAGATGGTATACTAGCGGCCAGATGGTATACTAGCGGCCAGATGGTATACTAGCGACCAGATGGTATATAGCGAGCGATACTAGCGAGATGGTATACTAGCGGCCAGATGGTATACTAGCGACCAGATGGTATCCTAGCGACCAGATGGTATACTAGCAGCCAGATGGTATACTAGCGACCAGATGATATACTAGCGGCCAGATGGTATACTAGCGACCAGATGGTATCCTAGCGACCAGATGGTATACTAGCAGCTTGTTGATAAGATATTTAAGTTAACAAACTGATACAAACAATAACAGGTAACATGACAGAGATGATAACAAATAGTCGGCCACACACACACACACACACACACGCACACACACACACACACACACACACACACACACACACACACACACACACACACACACACACACACACACACACACACACACACACACACACACACACACACACACACACACACACACACACACACACACACACACACACACACACACACACACACACACACACACACACACACACACACACACACACACACACACACACACACACACACACACACACACACACACACACACGCACACACACACACACACACACACACACACACACACACACACGCACACACACACACACACACACACACACACACACACACACACACACACACACACACACACACACACACACACACACACACACACACACACACACACACACACACACACACACACACACACCATTAGACAAATCATTTTAGTACTGTATTTATTGTCCATTAAACATCAAGCATTTAAAACCTATTACGCGATTACTCATTTTTTACCCTGATCATAATTACTGGGTTTTTTATTAGTATTACTCATAAAATATATAAATTACTCTCGGTATGTAAATTACAGGTAGGTAATTCAGTCGTCAGGTGAGTCATGGTCATTAAGGTGGTCGAACTCAGGTATGTCATTAGGGAAAGCGACTCTTGTTGGTAATTAATGTCATTATCAACGTTGTATGTAATTATTATTCAGTTCATTAGAGTTGTGGCTCGTTATGTCAGCTTATGAGTGTGTGTGTGTGTGTGTGATGCGGTAGTAATAATATATGGTATATTATATATAATTCTGTACTATGTATATATATATTATTTATGCATTATATGAACAGGTCCATCTATTGTATGTTGCTATTATTAATGTATAAACTTTAGCAACATTGTGGAACTAAATATTTTTTGTGGGGTTCTTATGTAAATTGAAATGAAAATTGGTATTGTTTATTTTTTCATTGACTTATTCTTGTACAGACTTAAATACTTACCATATAATGTTTTTGTTTATAATGATCAAATACTCGTTAATATAATACCTATATCAACACAACACAACACAATACGACGCAACGCAACACAGCACAACTGAAAACAATACAACACAACATAAACGCTTTGTAAAAGGATAGATAGATAGATAGATAGATAGATAGATAGATAGATAGATAGATAGATAGATAGATAGATCATTCATGTAAGGCAGAAACACACACAGGAGGGAGGGCGCCATATTGTTACCTTCTTGTTAGTTTGTGTTTGCTTTAGCCGCTTCAGACTACCTGGGTCATTAAGCACTCCTGGCTGTTAAAGGAGATTTGTCTCAGTTACTTATTATGGTTTGCGTCTTTTGTTTTTGTTTAGTCACCTGCTTCAACTGCTGATGGAGTACTGATTACTGACTTAGTTTTTTTTTCAAATTTACAATAAGTTTTACAAAATAAGGACGATAATATTTACCCTTGTACACTCGATGAAAAAATAATAATTTACGAATAAAATATGTTTTTTACGATTTTTTTAGACCAGACAATAATATTTTACCGATTAAGAAAGGTTTTATATTATTTATTTTATTTATTTGTTACTGTTATTATTTTTATTTTATTTATTTTTATTTTTTATTATTATTTATTATTATTATTTTTATTCATCTTTAGCCTTTGTATTCCTGACGGGGAGGAATTCAGACTCGCTACTGCAGAAGGACGTCTTTATTCTACTTCCAAAAATGTGTGTTGGTGGGAGGCAGTGTGTTCTCGCCTGGTCTGGCTGCAGGTCCTCTGGTGTAATCATGGATCTGTCAGTCACCGTTGTCGTAGTCACCTTCCCAGGAGCGAGCCAAGAGAGAGAGAGAGAGAGAGAGAGAGAGAGAGAGAGAGAGAGAGAGAGCTATTATTTAAGTACAGTAAACTAAATGTATGGCATAAACCAAACACATATTTACTTTAAGTTCTCTCTCTCTCTCTCTCTCTCTCTCGTGTGTGTGTGTGTGTGTGTGTGTGTTTAACTACAAGTGTGGTCATCTGTAGGCACTAGAACGACCCCTAAACTACCCACCATCCCCTGAGGCAACAGGCTACTGCTCGACCAATCTCACTTGCAGGCTTTTCCCACTTCCATATATTTATAGAATGAGACCTGACACATACACACACACACACACACACACACACACACACCGAGAACCACTTGACGCAGAGGAATTTTCGACAACCCGAGACAAGATTTTCACTTTAATTTTTTTTCTCATAATAAAAGCCAAGATCGGCAACAAAAAAAAGCCTATTTAAGCCTGAAATATATATTACATCATCGTTTTATGTAACACAATGAGATTTAAATTCGTGTTAGTTTCTGTCGGTTTTAAGAACTCAGATGGTGACGCCTAGGAAGACGGTGAACTGTTACGACGCACCATCTAGACACTATCTACTGCCCGGGTTACGAGAGGTACACGGGTCAAAATACGAGTATAGCGACTTATCCAGCTGAGTGGACGATGAGCGGGTGCTTCCCTTCAGTCGCCAGAGATGAAGAGGAAGAGTCATCGTTGGTGGGGTAGATCGGAGAGGGACGTCGTCATTGGCTTGCCTGATCTGAGAGGGTGGTTTTCATTGGCTGGCCAGATCAGAGAAAGACGTCGTCAATGGCTGACCACATCAGAGAGGAAACCCGCCATTGGCTAGTCAAATCGGAAAGGGACCTTGGTATTGGCTGAGCAGATCGGAGAGGGACGTCATCGTGGGTTACTGGTCAATAGCCAATTACGAAGAGCGGTGTTAAAAGTTTGGGGATTCCGTATAAAAGTTTTAAAGTGATCAGCATTGCCTATTAAGCTCCCCATAACACAAGGCTACAGTGAGAGAGCAGAAGAGACGCGGCGTAATGGGGAGGATTCAGATGACAGACTGGGACAATGGGTGGAGAAATACCTTAGCCATAGTAAGGGGAGAGATGACACGCGAGGTATTTCAGAATGGTGAGGGACGAGGGATGAAGAGGTCCCCAACCAGAGAGTGAGTGAGAGGTCCCCAACCAGAGAGGGGAGTGAGAGGTCCCCAACCAGAGAGGGGAGTGAGAGGTCCCCAACCAGAGAGGGGAGTGAGAGGTCCCCAGCCAGAGAGGGGAGTGAGAGGTCCCCAGCCAGAGAGGGGAGTGAGAGGTCCCCAGCCAGAGAGGGGAGATAGAGAGAGAAGTTCCCCAACCATAGAGAGGGGAGATATAGGTCGTCCCCCTGGTTTGAAGAGAGCATTAGGGCCGGGTAGAGGAGAGGAAAATTATCATTTAGTCGGGAGGGGAGAATTCATTGCTAGCTGGGGAGGGGAGATGTCAGAATGGGGTGAGCAAGAAGTTAATATGGGAGAGAGGGAAGGGTGAATTCACTGAGGGATGCAGGAGGGTGGAAAGTCGAGGATCAGCGGAGAGAGAGAGAGAGAGAGGTGTAACCCTACTTGGTGTTTAAGAGGGAATACATCAGTGAGTGTTGTGTGTTATGTTGTTCACCCCTTGATCTGACACGCTCGGCTATACGTCTTGTGTTATTTAATCATTAGTGTTGTTATTGTCATTATCAGGTGTTTAGTTATTATATTTGTTGTTATTATCCCTGTTATTATTCGTCATTATTATTATCATCACCATTATCGCCATCATTATCATTTTATTCGTGATCGTTACCCTCACTTCTTCAGTATCATTACAGTCATTATCATCTCTATCATTGTAACAAGTATCACACTCTCCACCGTTATCACCTTCGACATCATCACTGCAAACATCACTATCACCACCAATTGTTGTGCACAAGACCACATTCACCTGTCAAGTGTTGATGGCATTGTACTGTCTGAATACTTGTTTTTTTTTCCGCCCCAATAAATGTCAAAGAGACAATAGTCATTCCTCAGTAAGTTTTATGGCTGGGCAGTAAACCATGGCGATATATAGTCACTACTTGGGAGCTTCAGTGAGGCCTCCGTAATTTCCAACAAACTCTGGTAAGATCGAGATTTTTCCCAGGAAGTTGGATATTCAAGTCGGGAATAAGAGTCGAATATCCGGAAGTTCGTAAAAGTGGAACCAGAATCGGGGAGACTTGTATTTCCGGAAGATCGTAAAAACCGGATCCAAAAATAGATTCGTATTTTTAAAAGAGTTCGTTTTAACCGACAACAGAACTTGAACCAGACACGAATTTTCTTTTATTTAAAACCTCGAGTTTGGTTAAGTTTGAATACAGTTATGTTAAAGGTAGGTTAAGTTAGGTTAGCTGAAGAGGAGGTTAGGTTACGTT